ATCTAAAGAATAGCTGTGTTAGTTTTGGTACCAGTGAACCTCTGTTTCTTTCAAAACCCCATCTAGGAGCAATACCCCATAGCTCCTGCCTCTGCTGATGCTCATGGTAAAAAGAAAAACATCTTTCTGTTGACATCAGCGAGGCAAGGAGTGGGCCCAGCTTCATTCACACCCACACGGTATGTTTAATTAGAAACTATTTTCCTCTAGGAGCAGGCATTTGAATTTCTTGAGATGTTGCAGAGAGCTTCCAGAAGGAGTTGCCGAGGGGTGGGGGTGTTTCAGGTAGGAGGAGGCAAATAACAGTTGGGAAAAAGAAATAAAAATTAGGGTTTTGGATCAGGGTGGTTTTGTAATGATCCACAGTCAGAGGCTGTTTGCATCCTCTTCATATTTTTCAGAGGAGTTTTCCATCCCTTCAGGGTAAATTTGACCATAATCCAGCTAAAGCTATTTTCTAACCAGAGTTAACATAGGGAGGATTGTGCTGTGTCAGGGAAGACATCACAGCCATAACATCTGCCTTGTGCTTGCTCTCCTGTAGATGTCCTCTCTAGCCTTCCGTGGACTTTTTCCATTGTGTGCTTTCAGTCCTGTTCCCAGGGAAATAGCTATTTATTAGTGTTGTAACAAGAAGGTTTGCACTCAACTTAATTAGCAGACTCTGTGTCCATAGCCTGCTTGCTGCTTGGCTGTCGGGATTTATGAAGGAACCATTAAGTGCTTGCCTTGTATGTGCAGTTAGATGGAATTACGACAGATTACAGCCCATATGTGACAATTTAATGGCAGTGGCAAAACACAGCTGAAGTCAGAAATTTCATGAGAGCTGTCCTAATTCATGCCCTAATGACATGTTTGTGTTTGTAAATACCCTTCTGGCTTGAATGATGTGCCCAACACAGAATCAGGGGCTGAAAGCCAGTCTTTATGACCAGGGAGGTCCTGTGCTTTAATAAAAAGCCCCACCTTATTGCAGCCAACAGTATCCAGTCTCTCCATATGTGGAGGCTGCTATTGAGATGACCCTTGAGACGAAGTCTTTTGAAAGCAGCTAGTAATTTTTTGAGAAGTGCGAACACAGAGTGAAGTGTTTCTTAGGCTGCTCCTTTCCTCTGAGACACATAAAGGAGAAATTGCGTTTGGCCTTCCAAAGAAACCATATATCCTGGCATGTCCATCGCAGGTGGTAGAGCACAGGAGGGATCAGGAGTGCTGACCAAGTGCAAGCGCCGCTCTTGTTTAAAGGTGCAAGAGGGACTTGCTGGGAGTTAATAACAGATTCAAGCCTTCCAATTAGGTTCTTCAGAGCAGATAATGACAGGCATGCATGTGGGCATAACCATCCCATGGAGAAGGCTGGGAAGTTTCAAGCATTTTCTGAAACCTGGTGATAGGTGTGGCAGGAAGAGCTGGTTTCCTGGTAGACTGGAGCTGCCCAGAGATGCTCTCTGATGGCAGCAGTGGAGAACCTGGGGGAATAATGAAGAGAGGGAGACATGCAGTGACTCTCTGAAACCTCCAGTGCCCACTGCTTTATTGGATTCTGGCGCAGTCCTTCCTTCTGCTGTTAAATTCATACTGATTACTTGATAGCTGACTAAAATTGAGTAAAGCTGTCACTACCAGTGGGGAAGATTAAGATATGCTGTACTACTCCCGCTTATTTTCCTTTCAATTTGGAGAATAATGCAGTGCCAAGGCACAGTGGTGCTATGCCTACACTACAGCCCCCTGCTTTGCTGTGGCTGTCCCTTGGCTCTGCTCAGAGGAGTGAAGAGGAGGAGAAATGAGTGGGGTGACACACAGAGTATCTCTGTCCCAGGGGACAGGATGTTCAAACAAGCTGCTGTAGGCAATGCACTGTGTGCAGCTCGTAAAGTGGAAAAATACAGCTTCAGACTCCAGGGTAGAGGTTACCTTAGGAAAGATAATGGTGTTATTTAGCCTCGGGACACCACCTGCGAGATATTCAATAAGACCAGTGCAGATCTGGGGGAACGGGATGTCACTGGGGATGTCTGGGAGAGCCACAGAGGATCTTCAGGAGTGTGAATATTTCAAGGGAAAGATGTTCACCTGAAGGCAAATAAAAAGTACAAAATCTTAATTTTGTAAAGAAGAGGCTGTGTAAGGGGCTGAGCTGGTACCATGTCACTCTACTGTCTGCAATCGGTTTAGCCCTCTTGTGCTTGATGTTATGGTTCTGATTATGAAAAAATGCTAATCTGTTACTGAATACTGAATACAGCTGAGTAGCAGTTGCTAGGCTCTCACAGTCCTGTCATTTGCTTTATTTGCTGTCATTGTAAATACTATTGGTTAGGAATTTCATGTCGAAATGTATTTCTTGCACGATCAAACTTTTAGGAAGGAAGAGTTTTGTTTTTCCGGAAAGGAAAATGTAAAGAAAATCTTTCATTTGCCATAGGGTTAGCACAGACTGAAATCTTTATGTTTGTAGCACAGAAACAAAATACTGTATTTTGAGTGAGTTCAACACTGACCTGTACCACCCCCAAAATGCTTTCTGAGTGATGCATGTTGTGTGCCCAATTTCCCTCTACTGCAGCCCCCGAACTGTGCTGTACCTGCTCATCTTGACAAAAAATGGTGCACATAGCAGGCTGGTTTAGGTGTATTCTGCAGTCCTCTGAGTGCCCTTGTTTTCTGGGGAGCCTAGGCAGCCTCCTGGTGAGAACTAACCTGCCATACGTTTCCTTATATGAAACCTTAAGCTGCACTGTAGGAAATACATGGTGCTAAAGAGTGCAGAGAAAATGGAAACCACAACTCGGGAAGGCTCTGTTAGGCCATGCAGAAATATGATTTCACTTTGAAGGTAGCCAAAGTGACATGTTTTGGTTTGCCTCAACATACACAACTGAAACATTTTGTTTCAGTCAAAATTAACGTGTTGGGAAAAATGTGTCTTTGTGTTAGAATTTGTATTTTAAAGTAATTTTGATCAAACATATGGAAATTCCCTTTTGCATAGGAATTCAGGTTTTTCTCAGGTGTGACTGTAATTATTGATGATTAGTTTGAGAGACTACGTTCTGACAATTGCTACTTTTCTGTATCAGTGCTAATTATAGTATGTTTTACAAATAGTAGCAAGCTCACTGTCAGGGAAATAATTTTTAAATGAGGAGAGATTGTTTAGTGCTATTTTCTGGCTGAGAACAGCAACCAGCATGAGAAATAACTGTGGTTTTCTGGCCTGCTCTAATGTTTTCTTCTGGTTTGACCCAGAACTGTCCCTTTCCTCCCAACAACTTATTAAACTGCATTTTTTTATTATGGTTTTGTATAGCTACTGCTTGGGAAAGGGCACTGTCCCTCCATCACAGGGCTTCTGGCACAAGGGGAAGCTCAGTGTGATTGCAGCTTTAACATGCGACCATACTGTAGTATGCATTTTGTCATAAGGAGGCTATTATAGATATTCTTTCATGATACAGTAAAAAATGTCCAGGTTTCAAACAAACTAAGAAGCAGTGTTAAGGTGATCTGCTCAAATTGTGGCTTGAATAATATTAATTTCCAAGATCACACTGCAAAGATCTACAGGCTCTTTTCATTTTTAGGAACCGTATAATAAAGGCTGTAGTAGCTCGTTTGCTGTAGGAGTGAGTTATGTGTCCCCTGCTGTGGCAGCCTGTGATTAGAGGGAGCTGGGTTTCCTCCTCACACAACCAAGACATCAGATAAAAAGCAGTGTTCCTCCTGTGGAGCGATCTGGTTACTTGCTGTGTAGTATGCTCATGACTAAGTAACCGCTCCTGCTGATGCTGCAGTCCCAGGGGCAACCCGAAATGAAACCCCAGCCAGCAATCAATGTGTGAATCAATGTAACTAATTTTCTTTTACTCTTTTTTATCTTTTTTTTTCTTTTGTGCAATGAAAACAAATAATTGGATGCCATGGACAGCTGCTTGATCCAAGGGCTATACCTTCTTCCCTCCCATAAAAATAGCAATGAGTGCTCCTCCTTTTATTTTTTTTTCTTCAAACAGTTATTGAGCAGCTCTGTGGGAAGCTCTGAAACCTTCATGCAGTGGTAGGGAATTTATTCTACTGGAAAACTTACTGTTTCTAAGGACTGGAAGTGTAACATTAAATATCACTAAAGCAGTGCTGTGATTTACCCATGACAATTGCAATAGTGAAGTTTTACCCTCCTGCTGATGAGCAAATTCATGTAGAGAAGATAAGGGATCTGTCTAGGGTGTCTCTGGTAGGGAGCAAAGCTCCAGGGGTAACCCTGCTTTCCCAGAAACAAGCGCAAATAGCAGTCTCTAAAGACATTAATAAACAATGAGAAATTCCTCATTCTGGTGAGATTTACTTGATTTTATTACTGATACTTATTGTGAAAACCTTGATTCAAAGGTTCACTGCTATTATGGGCAAGCAAAAAAGCATGAATGCTTCTAAACTGACTCAACATTTGACCAACCTGTCAGTTTCATAGGTCGTTATCAAGGGATTCTTAAACTAATTTATAGTCTTGGCTCCTTCAGTGCTTTGAGAACTGGAAAATTCACAAGTTCAAGTGTACTGCTGAAGTTGGCTTGCTGAGTTACTGAACTTTGAGGAGGATGGCAATGGGAGAGAGCACATTGTTTATCATCATCTCACTCAAGGAGTTATGAAGGGGGTTTTATAACAGAAGACAAAATTACAAGTAGGAGTTTAAAATTAGGCATGAAAATGCAGTCATCCTCAAATAGATTATAAAAATTCAAAATCCAGAGATAATAACCTGAGTGTAGGTTGGGCAGATTCTTCAATCTAAAGAAATTAACATTGTTAGACTGATGAGGGTCCTTCAAAGTAAAATTTCTGAAAAAGTAGGGATGGAGTAAGAAAGGAGGATGGCAGTAAAGCTCAGAGAAAAAGGCCATTTAAGCAGCATTTATGTTTGCATATCAGATGAGGAATAGAAGATTCATGAGATGGAAATGACTCCTTTTATATGATTTTTCCAAATTCAGAAAACATAGATGAACACAGTAATTGTTCCATGCAAGCAGCAGAGAACAGATGTCAGCCAACTGTCCCAGCTGAGGAACCCAACAGTGCTATTTCCAGACCCAGAAGGAAATGAGAAAGTAAGTCTGAGGAGTAATGGGAAACCTGTATCTGGTAGTTAATTCTTTGAAATATTGCTCAGAAGTTTAGTTTTCCATAGATCAGTATCCCAGACATGAGAATTTCCAATCTATTTTGATTTCAGTGGCAGTGAGTTAGTCGACTGCAGGGATTTTGAAAATCTTCCGTCTGACAGAAGGCAGGACTAATGATCATTGTATTCATACAGGATGGGGATAATTGTAAGTGAAAATGGGAGTATCTTGTGTCTTGGGTGAATGTCCTTCCAACTGAAAACTACCAGCTCTGTGGTGTACCTCTTCCTTTCTTGAATTTCGTGTAATTTCTGTTCTTGACCTCAGCAATGCTGCCCGTGAGAGTTTCATGAAAACCAACACGTTGCTGCAAAAAGGGTTGGGTTTGAATTTTCATACTTCTCTGATGAAAAAAAGTAGTTAGAAAATTCTCAAACCAGCTCTCATTTCAAATGTTAATGTCATTTTTCTGTAGAGAAAAAGCTTTTTGGAAGAAGGATTACATTTTTGTTTTACCAATGCCCTTCAAATGTGCATTTCCAGAGACAGACCACTTCAAATGAAAATGCTTATTAGGAGCCATCAAAAGCTTTATCAGAGATTTTATTGGGCTGCCTTGATTCAGAGATATGTGGCAAGTGCTGGTAGTGCTACACCGAAATTCAGACCTCAGCATAGCTGGACTTTAAGTTTAAAACCTTAACCGCACATTTGAAACTAAGAAATAGAAGGCCTTGAGGACAAACCTCAACTATTTTTCTAGACATAGAGAAGGCAAGGAAATGAGCAACCCTGTACACTATCCTAACTCATACCCTAACGTACTGTTTGTATCTGGCACCAGATGAAAGAGGATGCTTGCAGATGAGTTGCAAATATCAGGGTTACTGTGGGTAAATTCTCATGAGAGTTGTGAGCACAGTTTCAAGCCATCACTGCTTGTTGATCCATGTTTAGCAGGGTCAAAGGGAAAGCGTGCATTGCGAGATTCGGACATGTGGATGAGACAGGGAAAACAGGAGAGTCTCTTCACTGGTTCTCCAGCTTTCTCTTGCTCCTTGCTAGCTTTCAGCAAACTCATTTGGCTCAAGTGCTCTTAATTTGAAAGCTTAAGCCTATAGACTGCTAGAAAGTAGTTCTTGTTATGAAATATCTTTTATCCTAGCAGAAAACACTCAAGCTGATAATGAAAACAAACCTGAGAATGTTGACCATATGGACATCCTGCAAGAACTTTGGTATGCAAGCCCTGTCACTCAGCTCTGTAATGATTGTGAACTACTGAGGAGAAAGGTGAGCACAAAAAAAGGACGTTATTAAAGACAGCAGCAAAAATTGTTCTATAAAGCTATCACAAGTGGAAACCTGTGTTACCTTCTCACTGGGTTCTGCAGCACTAGGCAGATGAGAGAGCAAAGGAAGTGCATCTCCATACAGTACATGGAAAGCCCACCACGACTTTTGGCGGATCTTGACGTTTTGTTTTAAAAAACAAAACAAAAAGACCCTCACACAACAAGCAACACATTAACTTGGTGTCTTGTAATTCAGGGCACATTTAGACAACAGCCCTAGCAGTTTCCCAGATTCAAAGTACCGTAGTTGTTCATTATGGGGAGTGCTTGGCGCATGGACACTGCTGCAGGTGCACACTCAGGTATGAAGGTGCTAGTTACATTAAGAACACCTTGAGGAGAAATGGAAAGAAGTTGTTGGGATCAGCACAGGTCTGTGGGTAAATGATGAAGTTCTGAATGAAAAAACACAGTGTTTTAGTTGTTTTTCCTCTTTCTGTTCCATCCTCAGCCTTGAAGATGTCTTTAATAATGGTGTCTCAGTATAACAGACAGTGAGTAGGGGTTAATGGGCTTGGTGTTTTAGAACTGCAACATGGAGATTGGAAATCTAAACATTAGTCAATATTAAAGGATAAATTGAAGACTTTTTAATTGCTTTGGGTTAAGATGTGTATCAGTCACCAGGGGACACTACTAGTTGTTTAAACTTAATTTTTACGTGGAGGCGGAAGTACAGACTGGATGGAGAGTGGAATAGATTAAAAAATATTTAGATAAGATGGATGTACTCTAGTCAGCAGGGTCTGATGGAATTCACCCCAGAGTACTTAAGGCACTGGCTGAAGCAATCACTAAGCCATTAGTGATTATCTTTAAGAACTCACAGAGGAGAGAGGAGGTCCCTGCAGACAAGAGAAGGGCAAACACAGTATATTATATTTTAAAGAGGGGAAGAGAAGGACCCAGGGAATTGCAGACCTGTCGATCTAACTTAGGTCCTTAAAAGATTCAGGAACAAATCATTAAACAATCAATTTGCAAGTAGCCAGCTGATATGGTGAAGAGGGCTGGGGGGGAGTGGGGGGGGAAGGGAGGAGGAAGAGAAAAGAAAAACATAGGCTTGTCAAGAACAGTTGATGTCAAATCAATCTAATTTCCTTCTTTGTCACTGTAGCATGTCTAGCGAATAAAGAGAAAGCAGCAAATGCAATAGTGCTTGATTTTTAGTAACACTTTTTGACATATATGACAGGCTAAAGAATATGCTATAGATATAATTACGATGGGGTAGGTGCGTAGCCTGTTGAAAAATAGCTCTGCAGCAATAGCTAGTGCTGGATCACTGTCAGGGAGGGTATTTCGAGTAGGTCATACAAGACGGTTTGTCTTGTACCCGGTTCTATTAAGTAGTTTTTATTGACAACTGAACAACAAGCAAACAAATCCAGCCTGTGGATGATACAATTAGGAGGTGCTGTGAGTCCTAGAAGGTCAGGATCTGAATTTGAAACAATCTTCACAGCCTGGAGAAATGACTCCCAAATGTTTAAATGAAATTCCATCAGGAACAGTCCAAAGTACTGTGCCTGGAAAAGAGAGACATAGACACTTTGGAGGTGGGGGGAGAAGGTGAGGTGGAATAACCAGGCAGCAGCATGTTTGTGAAAGATTTGAATATTGCAGGGAACAATGAATTCAATGTCCTGGATTATAAGAACAAGAGCATCATCCTTGAGGCACTGCCCACAGTTATTTTCCTTTCTTGGCTTCACCTGTGGTACCACATGCAGTGTGCCAGAGTGCCACCTTTTCCTGCAGGTGAAGACAAAGTGGAGAAAATCCAGAGAAAAGTCAGAACGTAGGGCACCAGAAAGCACAAACTGTGAGGAGATGCTGAGAGAATTGGGTTTGTTTCAGAAAAGCAAATGCTAAGAGAGTAACATGGCAGCAGATGTCCAGTTTAGAGGTGAGGGCTGTGAATGATACAGTGAGCAGTTGTTCTCTTTGGTTGTGGAGAGGATAACAAGCAGAAATTATCTTGATTCAACACTTAATGTCAGGGTGCGAAGAGCTGGCACAGTCATGCAAGGAGGCTCCTTGCTGTTTGGTTTTGAGTTTCTTAGTTTGTTTTCTTCCCCTTAAGACAAGTCAGACAGTGCCTGTTGGGAACCTCTGGCTCCATGTCAGTGTGGGAACTCATGCCATGAGTTTCTCACAGCCACACATTTCTACTTAGGGATAAAAAGAAATAATGTAAAAATGTCCTTATTGCTCGAGTTTCCATTTTAATGTTGCTTTGACAATATGCCAGAAATTGTTTGATTTGATGGTCTTGCATTGCTCACCATGAAAATGTCAACATTTATTCTCTGTTACCATTCTCTGTATTGAAGATACTGCAGTATTTTAGTTCATAATAAGCCAGCTGGTCCATTACACATGCTCTCTTTATGAACATCAATTACTGCCTGCTTTAGACTCTCCTTCTTTCTCCATGGCAGCATCACTCCAAACCTTATTTTGTGGAAGATAAGAGACAAAACAGGCTTATATAAATATTAATTGAGAATGTTGTGAAAGAGATTATCTGAGAATCTGTCCCTGGGAGAGAGCAGCAGAGCAGACTGTTGCATTAAAAACATCTTAATGCAGCTTTCCAGCAGAACACAGACACCCCTTAAATAGTCTGCATAATCAGATCCGGACATGGGCAAAAACCCAAGGCTTTCTTGTTGTGTTGCGCTCAAGGGTACAGCTCCTGATTTCAGTAGCTGGGGTTCTGCTAGACCCTGCTAGCATCTCCCCAAAATCAACAGCCGCTATGGGCCCCAGACCCTACAATCCAGACATGTTGTGCCAATAGTGTTACCCTGCTGCCTTTTTAGGGGCATGTGGCTTAACCTACTGCTTGGTGACTGTTTTTCCTACCGCCACCACCTATTGCAACCCAGCCTGTCCCTTCCTTAAATCATACATAGGCTACCCCATCGCTGCAAGAAGTCATTGGTTCCAGGGTGTGTTAGCAATAATCCCACAGTTAATGTCAGCTGGTTTGTTAGAGAACTGAGCACCCTCAGCTTTGCTTTCAGCTATTAATTAACTAACCAGTCATTAACTACTGCTAACAATTGATTTACAGGGAATTATTGCTTAAATAGCAGGAGGTATTTAAGAGGAAAATAAATTAAAACAAAGAACTGCTGGATCCTTGGGCACAAAAAAGGACTCCTTGTAATATAGAGCATAGCTGCTACAGCACTGTAATTACAGAGTGATAAACAGTCATTGGAAAGTACGTTCCTTTCTAGAGACAATGACATTATGTCTCCTGGAAAGAGCCCCTTTGTCTGCACTAATTGAATGATCTGAAATGAATGATGTTATCAGAAACCTAACCAAGGCAACTAATGTTATATTTATGGGTTATCAAAAACGTTTAATCACAGCTGCGGTCTCTTCAAGATGTGTCATGGACACTGCAGCATCCAAAAATATGATTGAGGGTCGGCACGGCACATTGTCTTAATTATAAAGGAGAATTACAAGTTCTTCCACTGATTCTGCCTCCTTCCAAAGTGGCAGAACAAATGAGACCTATTAACCTAAGTGCAAGCGAACACCGCCTCCTAATGACACTTTTTCCTCTTTGTGGACAGAAAGTGAATGAGTGGTTGCATACTTTTTTCCCCAGGAAATAGTGACCTAAATCAATTTACAGAGCCTGCGACACGTGAAACCCCACTCACGGCCACTCCTGTTGAATCTGCCCAGGTTTATGCCAACACGGTCAACATCTAGATTGATTAAGCGGGCGTTGCTGAGCAGGTCAAGGTGTATTTGCCCTTTCCTGGCCAAATTAAGCCGTGTTTCACTGCCCTCTCCTGGAGCCAATGGCTGCCTGCTCTGCTGCCGTTTAGGCCCTTTTGGTACCCCAGCACTAGCAAAAATGCATTTGATATGAGAGAACAGGGAGAGAACTGCTGCTTTTTCAGACCTGAGGCTGTTGATTTCTCTTGCTGAGAGGCTCTGCATGAGATGGCCAGAGAACAGATGGGAAGGTATCGCTTTAAAAATAGATCCTGTGCTTCAGCTTCTGAGATAGTTTACTTTCATTAGATATATGTCAGTTTTCCTCCCCACCTGCATTTTTGGGAGTTGTTTTCTTGTAAACACGCTGGCAAAAGTATGACCCAGCTCAGGTGGAGAGCAGTGCCCATGGGAGAGTAGGGGGGAGAGAGCTCAGGTATAACTGCTGGAGGGGTTTTGCTTGAGGGCAATAAGGATGCTCAAGTAGACATTAGCTGAGGACAACACCTTACTTGCTCCAGAAAGAAATGTCACAGCTTTGGTCACTTTGAAAAAGGTAATTGGCAAAGCCCTGAACAAAGTCCTGCTCTTCTGCCTCCTCCCAGCAGCTGTGTCCTAAGCTTTGCCTCTCTCCTTTTCACTTATCTGGATAAACTGAGCTGTGGGGACCTGGAAAACCCCTAGTTTCGAACTTTCAATCAAAATCTTGGGGTTTGTATCCAAGGCTCACAAATGCTGCAAAAAGAATTTCCTCAGTCCTGCAATGAATAGCAGATATTTCCGAATAAAACTTTAAACTCCCAAGCTTTCTCTTGTCTGGCTTCAGCTGGTTTGGTAAAGAGGTATGAGTTTTGGGTTTAGCTTCCTTACAGATACCCTGGAGAGAAGAATTCATAGTAACCTCTTGATTTAGCTTCCCTCTCCTTTCATTCGATTACAGCTACAAGAATAATTAACTTTTTGATTATCTGTAAAATAAACAACTGCATATAAAGGGCTGCAGAGTACCATAAAAATTGATCAGGAAGTAAGGATTGGGATATTTTGCGTTTCTTCACCTTACCATTCCTGCATGGCTGGACCTCATATGTTTCTGTACCAGGAGGTGGCGCTGGTAATCACAGGGATCTGCAGCAGATCTGAACTGAAAACTGGTTGGTAAAACCTCTTTGTTGATATGAAGCATAACTGCAGCTGTGTGAGCCTTCACAACAGTCTGCGTGTCTGTTTTGGCTTTATTTAACCTGCAGAAGAATGGCAGACAGCCTGTCTCTACCCAAAATTCTCAATTATATCTCAAAAAGGAAGTGCAGAAGTCTCATGAATGGTCATAGGATGTCAAAAAATGAGCTGCTAGCAAGGAGAGTATCAGTAGTGTGGTTCCCTAATGCATTTATAGTATTTCAGAACATCATAAAACTGTTATCAAGTGAGAAGTACATAAGCTTCTCAAAATACGCCTGAGAAAGTTCTGGTGCTCCTGGTGGAGGTAGAAGTAAGTAATACTGGCATGGTTTTTGGACTGAGAAATCTTTTGTGATGGTTGTGGAGCTAGAGAAAAAAGTAGCCTAAATGCCTTCAGGCACTGCAGTGCTTGACTTTTAGGTCCCAGAGAGAGAAACAAACATGCCTACGACAGGGCATCTCATGGGGAATCGGTATACATCAGAGTAGGGAATCTTATTTGAGGTGTTTCACAGAGTTTAGTCCACAGACTGTTGGTACTCTGTAAGATATCAGAAGGTATCCTGTCTAAGAACTGCAGAATTATCCTTAAACATTAATGCAAGGAAAGAAGGAAAAGTGGAGAATAAAAGTAAGTGAACACTCAGATGTCAGCCTGCCTGACTTTTGGTTCTGATGCAGAATATTACAGTAACATTACAGAGGGTAATCCTTGGGAAAAACAATTGTTTGAGGCTTTGTTTAAAGATCTGGAATCATTCTTGTTTCCAGGGTGTCCTCTCAGGGCTGTGAGGAAGGCCAGCAGCTGCCTGTCTCTCCTGAGGACAGGGCTTTTTGCCCCTCTGTCTTTCAGAGCACAGAGGGCTAGAGTCTCGTCTTGAGAAAACATGAAGGGTGATTGTGGTAACTCTTACTTGAAGGCATTTTGGAGATACTGGGAGTAAGTTGTTCAGATCTTCTGGTGGTCTAAGAAATTTTTAAGCCACATTTCTGATCTCCAAAGAGAGCTTTGTAATTGCCAAGATGTAAGAGCATGAAAAGGGATGTCTTCCCTGAAGCTCACTCCAGAGCTTCCTGAATTTGTTTCTTAAGCCTGATGGAGGCATAAGAATTAGGTGCCAAAATGCAGCAGCTGTGCACATATCCAGATGTGGACTTTTTCTGCACAAAAGCTGCTTCCAGTGCTTTGCTCAGCTCAGGCAGAGTTAGCTGGGAATCTCAAGCATAGCCCTATTTAGGCTTACCCTGGCATGCCTGAGGAGTAAGATGTAGCAAGAAAACTAAATAAATTGCAATCTATTGGAGGACTCAGTATTTTTAGACAGTTGATGTGACCACTTTTGGTGGGATATAAAGCCCAGTCACTCATATTAGACACAGCCTATCCAACTCGAGGTGCAAACTGCCTCAAGATGGGAAGCAAGCAGATTCTCAGTTTTTCTATTTTAGCTCTGTGTGTATGAAGAGCTGATAAAACTAATAAAGCAATGACTGATTTAGTTTGTCTAGTGGTGGTTGTCTATGGTTGTATCATCAGCTCCTCTCAAAACAGTTACCATAGTAATGAAAAACATCTGTAACAATTTAGAGGTTCTTAAGGACAACAAATGCATAACTTAGTCCAAGAAAGAGGTGATTAGGAAAAGGTCATGCTGGATTTACTTCTCTGGAAGCACTATCTCTCCATGCACTTAAGCAGAGGTCCTATTCACCTGAACACCTGATCTTTGTTCTTGTATCCGCATCTCCCAAATTCAACAGGATTGCCTATTTAACACATTTGCTTCCTTCTTTAACTAGGCTTTGACAAACTCCAAAGAAAATGTCTTGCCTTGTCAGAACAGTTTGCTTTTTATGCAGTAGGAACTGACCCGCTATTTATTTAATGTCATCTTTTTTCTCACATCTAATCAATAGGAATTGATCAGTATTGTTATTTATTCAGCTCAATGAAGTATTGCATGTTTCAAACAATCGTATAGCTGATGAGGTAGGTATAACAATTGCTCTGTTGTTTTTTCTCTGTTGTTATCTAATTAATGCATTTTTTTCTCTAATTACAGCTTTACTTTGGAATTATAAATTCAAGGGACTTGATATAGAGAGAATGATTACATGCTATGATGTTGAACAAAAATATTAGAAAGCTGTTAAAACCCATGCCAGAGCATTAGAAGCAGCATTTGAAGTGAGCTTATTTTATGTTCAATCTGGTCAAATAAGGTTTTCTGTTGGAGAAATTAGGTCAAGCTATAGTAGAAAAATACTCTGAATAGAGCCTATCAGCAGTTTTAAGATCATGTTAAGCTTGTGGGTTCCAGGTACTCAAATGAACTTTGTGTGAGGTGTTGCCTGAAGTCACGGATAATTCATGTGGTCATTACCTTACACTATCCTTTCTCCCATTTTGATATTTAAAACACAAAAAGCATTTATTCATCCTCTCAATTTTTTTTTAGAGGCTTGTTGTGTGTTTAAATCCCTGTTTCAAAGTCAGCATAAATATTTCAAGGTTTGAGGGCCCGCAGTGAAGCCCAGGAGCAGGAAAGCTCTGCGGTGAGGGCTGTGAGCAGCTCTGAAAATGCCTGCAAAGGTTTTCCTCACTCAAAGCTGTGTGAAATATTTGATGGGAGGAGAGAAGGCTGACATTTGGATTAAGAATTGTTGAGCACTAAGTGTTTTTGAGACTGAAGATCTGGCAGCAAATAAGGTGAACCAAAGTGCAGCTTATCTATTTGGCTGGGTTTCCAGGGCTAACAAGTCCCTTGTCCAGGAAGCACACTGATTGCCGAGGGAGGAATGGGGCTGGGAAAATATTTTTGTACTGAGGATGCTTTCACAGGTGCTCTTCCCTTTTGCTGATTATTCCCAAACAGCTTTTTTCTTCATCTGTTTGCAAGGCTCACCTGCATCTCAGTGCCAGCAGTTTGCTCTTGAAGGGCCACTTTTTGATGAAATACTGGAGCAGGGGCTTCACAATAGCCTTGAGATTGGCCCATAGCTATCTGGCCTTCTTATCCAATATCTCTCACCAAGAGTTAATTTTGTTTCACCTACAGGATAATTTTGTTCAAGCTGATTTTATCCAGTGGAACAGTTAAGGTATTGACAAATAGTAAAGAATAACAACAGAACACCAACTGAAAGAGTAAAGCTTTCCCTCAGATGATTTTATTTGAAACATCTGAAATAATTTCTGCATAAATGGAACTCCTCTATGAAAAACAATTTTTTTTTTTAAAGAAGAAAGAAGTGTAACAGGATGTGAGAAGGAGTTTGCATTTTGAATCCATGCTGGACAAAGCTGAGCATAGATGTAAAATACTGCAAATTCTCTATAGAAAAGTGTTCTGTGATTTCCTAGGGATGGGATGAAAGACAGAGTGAAATCTGGCTAAAGAGGGTTTAATAAACTCCAAAATACTCATAGGATTATTTTTTTTTTCAATTATCTTATGGTGTTCGGCTTAACTTCTGTATGCAGGAAATACCACTCTTGGGAATGATATTTCGATTTCTATTCAAATATCTATGATATTTGACTTCTATTTCCACAAGGGCTGGGCAGGTTCACCATGTGACCAATACTGTCACACCAGATCAATTAGGTATTTTAGCTTAAACAGCCCCAGGACCAGTGAAGGAATAAGGAGGAACATCCCCCCACACTTTGGCCTATATCGGAAACCTGCTTCCATGTAGAGAGGAATGATTCCTTTGAGAGTTAACACTTGCTGTTAAATACACAGAGGTGAAGGAGACCTTTCAAATATACGATGTTCACAAATTTGTGCACATTCTTTCCCCAAGATTAAGATCTTTTGGCCTTGGGTGCAGGAAGTTTCTCCTGTCACCTAATGAGCAAGCTTTAAATGCAATCATGCTCCAAGAATTAAAAAAAAAAAAGGGGGGGGGAACCCCAGTATGCAAGCCATGGGGTCCTGATTCAGGACCAGACCCAGCTACCTGTACTCGTGCTTGCTTAAAGTGACTTTGCTCTGCTATGAGACACTAGTCTGGGTGTTCGGATGGCCCCAGTGAAGCTTGAAAGGCATTGTTTTGAAGTGCTGCTGGCTTTTCCTACAGTTCATCACAGATCTTGTTAGGAAATGAAGGAGAGGAAACTGGGCAACTGTGCTTCTCAGCCATGAGGAAATGCACAATGAGGGTGGTGAAGCCAGAAGCTGCAAGACAATAGGAACAGGCTGGGGCTATTTTTGTTAGATGTGAAAAATCAATTGAACGTGTGAGCCTTATCGTGTTCCCTCCCCACCTTCTCCCCCCCTTTCTTTAACACTGGAAATTTTCCCAAAGAGAAAACAGCTTTCATTTTCTCTTAGCAAAGTTGATTACCATAATAATTTTCTCTTTCATCTCAGAGCAGGTTTCTTTTGGAAGTCTTTGATGGCTTCCTCTGAGCACAGTTATTTTCTTGCTGTGACTGAGTGACTTGCAGCTGGGTCATACTCGGCATTTTGAAACCTGGAGCAGCATTTGCTGGTATTTATGAATAGGTAAGGGTCCCCTCACCTCTCGCTTGCTGGATGTGGAGGTTGGAAACATCTCTCCCAGAGTTATTTTCAGGGCAGAAATCTGAATTTGAACTGGGCATAGCTTTTACAGACAGAAAATAAACAACAAACTTTCATATCCTATCAGATGTAATGAGGAGAAATACATAATTAAGATGGTAATCAGCGCTCTGATAGCTGAATTCCCCCTTATCTTTATGACTGTCTTCTCAGAACAGTCCTTTTAAATGTCACAGCAATATTAGCTCCAAATCACAAATGGAAAAATTGAGGGACATAAGCACATGATTTATGCTGTCAAGTAAGCCTGAAAGAAAAAACATTTTGCTCTTTAAACAGAATTACATTTTCCTGTATGTTCAGACATGTGTATTACTCCCCTGATACAGTTGTCTTATTTACATTGTTTCAATGTTCTGTGTGCCAATAGCAGATATACTACCCTAGATTCTCATACTTCATAACTGTGAAAGGAATATATATTTGTAAATGAGCTTTTCTAACATCTTGTGATATTTCAAGCATGCACTGAAGCAGCACTTCAGGTTTGCTATTAATATTTTTTTTATTTTCAGTTCTTCCATGTGTAAGTCTCTCTCCCTTTATTAAGCATCCTATTAGTCACATAAGATCGATACTGCACTTCTACCCATTATCTTAATGTCACTGAGATCTGGCTAGGACTTCATACCACAATTCTTGCTACTACTTAATTTCATTATAATGACATGTTTACATTGGTAACAGTTCAATCAAAATTGGATGTGTTTATAACACTTACTGCAGTTTAGATTAACAGCTTACTTCTACTTTACTACAAGGAAACCACTAAATTGACTGTAATTCCTGATCAATATAGCTATAATTCTTAGCATTTAAATAAGTTTTTAAGCACTCTTGCCTGTGCTGCTAAAGGTGACATGGCTGTCCCATCTTACCCATTTGGGTGAGTCCAGCTACGTACTCATTACGCTGTCCAACTATGCTTCTCTGTTCCAATTTGTCTCTACCAGTTCACCATCATTTTCTCAAGATCCAGCAGTCTCACTGGGAGCAGCTGTGGCTCAAACTCAGCTCAGTGCTGAAAACAAAGAACACAGTTTTCTCAGAGCGGCAAAGTCAATGCTCTGACCTCCCCAGTCACTATCAGAGAAACCTCAAACAGTGCTTGTGACCAGAGTCCACAGTTTAGGAATTTATCCTCTGTTTTGGGCTGGCCTACAACACAACGACACAACTTGCAAGCATTGTAATATCATGGTCTGCACACGGAATTACTATTTTTGTCAGTGTTTTGGTTATATTTCAGCTGAGGACCCAAGTGTGTTTCTAAGCATGCCTCAGGCACACCCTGCTCCCATACCAGAGGGCACCAGTCCCTACCTAACACCCCTCCACCTCTTTCTCCTCTTGTGGAAAGGAAACCCAGCTGCAGGAGACCAGACCTTGCCTGCTTGAGCAAAACTCTGGATAGACAAACACTGATGCATTGTTCAGATGTAATATGGCATCCTGATGTAGACTGTTGTTTTGTAGTCTAGGCAAAAGTTCTCATTGAAAATAGATGTGTAATTCCTATGGCTGCTGAGCTCCATAGTGATGGGAGCTTTAAAGGAGGCTTTGGGGAAGACCCTGACAGAGGTATATTTTTATTGGATGTAGCAAAAGTAGACAAAACTGCTAAACACTGGAGAAAAAGAGCTTTCAGGCAGGTAACCCACATCTAAGAGCTATAGCACTATGCTTATTATTTGCTCGCTCTTTTTTATCCCATAACTGACTCTGAACAGAATAAAATGAGATTTGGAAAAGCCTTTTAACAACCTATATACTTCCGTAACCTGGTTTCCCAGGTTTCCTACAAAAAAAAAGGAGCTCCAAAACCTCTTCCCTGAAACAGCTGGAACTGAACTTACTTCTCGGTCCTGTGGCCCTTCCCTGAAAAGACTGCTGCTCTCTGACTTTGGCTCTGAATTGCACAGTAAAACACCTAGAAACTGGAGCTCTGTTTCCTTGGTGTTTCTAGGTATTTAGGAGCCATTTCATCAGGGAGAGATGACAGCTTTCTTTTCAAATCAACTCATTTAGGGGGAAGAAACCGAAAACAACAAACCACAAACAAACAAAAAGCACAAGAGGAAGGGGAAGGAAAAGCTCTCAGCTCACACAGCACAAAGAATGTTTTGATGTTGTTGGAGATAGACAATATTTTTAATTCATTTCTTACAAGTGAGTCTGAGTTCAGTAAACCTGGGGCCCCTTTCCACTGTCTCAGAGAAAGCGAATTGAAAGCACTTTGTCAGAAAATGCTGAACACAGGGCTCTCCACCATATTGGAGTAGGCAAGGCTGGTGGGAATCCAGCTACCTGACTTTAACATTGTCCCTGCTCTGCAAGCTCCAGTGCAAGCCCTCAGGTCCCTTCAAAACCTTTCTCCTCTGCCCACTGCTTTCTTAAGCACAGACTGGGTGGGTGTGAATTGTGCCCAAGCTGAGCTGACCAGATCCTGTCCCATCTTCTGAGCAGCTTTTCTGTATCTAATGATGGAAAAAATCTTACACATTTCCAGTCTCTGTGCCTGAGACCGTAAATATAAGTCTTTTTCCTGGTGAAGAAGCTTGACAGGTTAGCAATGGCAGGTTGCTCATACTTATGATG